TCTTCGACTGTAATGATTTGGAAAGGATACGAGATAAATGGGAATATATTTTACACGATCGCCCAAGATCAAAAGAGCACCAACCAAAACAGCGGTGCCCGCTTTGATGCAGCCACCGAGAGGGGAAAGGACACATATGATGGTTACATAGTGGACATGTGGGAACTTGACTACGGAGTATATTTTAAGGTCCCTTTGTTTAAATGCAACTGGGTCAATCTGTCAGGAGGTGGGGTACAGGTAGACCCATAGTACAGAATGACAACTGTGGATCTGAACAATCTTGGGTACACTGACGAACCGTTCGTCCTAGCCAATGATGTGGCACAGGTTATCTATGTGAAGGACATGTCTACCAAACTGAGAAAAGGAAAAAATAAGGAAGCGAATACATCATACGATGAGCCAAAGCGCCACATAGTTCTTTCAGGAAAAAGGGACATCGTGGGAGTGGAGGACAAGACAGACATGTCCGAAGATTATGAAAAGTTTCATGAAATTCCTCCCTTCAAAGTCAAGGTTGACCCAAGCATCCTGATAAATGATGAAGATTATCCATGGTTACGGCGCAATAAGGAAAGGACACAAGTGAAGAAAAGTGAAGACTTTCTCCACAACTATTATGATGATACCATGCCAACTTTCAACTTTTCGTAGTTCATTTAAAATGCCTGTTGTAACAGACAAGTTTTCGTATGAAATCCTGATACTTCGAAAGAGATTGTCCGTTTTGTACATGAAGTGCATCCAGTTTTTGCCGTAACCCTCTCAACTTTCTTGCACATGCTATGTGGATGAAATGATGATACCATGCCAACTTCCAACCTTTTCAGAGTTCATTTGAAATGCTTTTAAATTTCAGGGTCTTATAGCTCAAAATAATCAGTAAATGCATGAAAAATAACAAATGAAGTCAGAAAGGGTTGAAAATTGATGATGTGGCTTTGAATGGTGCATTTTGAACACACAAAAAGTCAGGAGTTCAAATAAGTTTAAAAAAATGAAATCCCTGTGTAACAGATGAGTTTCCGTATGAAACCCTGATACTTCGAAAGAGATTGTCCATTTTGTACACGAAGTGTATCCAGTTTTTTCCATAACCCTCTCAACTTCTTGGCACATGCTATGTGGGTGAAATGATGATACCATGCCAACTTTCAACCTTTTCATGGTTCATTTGGTTTTGCTTATTGAATGCTCATATTGGAAAAGTACTCCTACTTTGAATGCTAGAATTGAGAGCACTCTATGCAGAAATATAGGAGCCCCCTCCATCATCCACGCCGTCGTGGGGGTAGCTTCTCCTTCATTCCCGTGTGCTAGACAATTTGGTGTAATAATGCACTCGGGAATGAAAGGAGGAGCTACCATCACCGATAGTCAACCCGTGATTAATAATAATGATCTAATTTAGGTTTTTTCGTACATATATTTAATTGTAGAAGTTTAATATTTGAATTATGAACATAGGCCGGAAATGTCGTACTCGGGCGACGAAAACCACCCGGGGAGTGCGACTGGTGCCACGACGACCGAGGTATGTGCGACAGGTTCCTTGAGCTGGACGAAGATCGGCGGTTCAGCATTAAGCTCGAGGAGACCTTCGATGTTCATACGGTACGCAACGATGACAATAGTTTTTTTCGTAATTAAGCACGACTTCAACTATTTTAATGTGTATTTTTCATCTTCTCCAATTCGACTAGTTTATCCCATGCTATGCAAGACGCTATGTCTTGGAGAGGATGGGTTTTGAAGACCATGAAAGTATGGAAACCAAAAAAATTCACCTAAGGACCCATCATGGTGTGGATTTTGAAGTAAAGTTGTACAATGCTGAGAATAACCCATTTTGGTTGCAAAAATTGGGAAGCACTTTGCAAGATGTATGGTTTTGATGAGGGTATGCTTGTCACCATGAATCTTGGTGATCCTACAATCGAGCATGACAATGTGAACATTTGGGTCCTTGTGGATACACTTCCAATTCTTCCCCCATGTGAGCTTCTCAAACATAGTTATTAAGTAATTTATATTGTTTATTTCAAAATAGTTGACAGCTTATTTCCATTGACATCTTATTTTCATTCTTCAAAGAATGTGCGGAAGATGATAGACAAAACTCACTACACCGATGGCTCCGAATTAACTTATAAGGAGAAAAATCATCTGATTGCATTTTGTACTGATCTTGAGAATTACAATATCTACAATCGAACTCCTCAATATTATGGTCAACACGTGCCACTAGTGCACGTGTTAAACTATGGTAACTACCATGGAGATACCCTGGTAAGATTTTTTACTATTATGACATACGTGCATCTTTTTGCATACTTCTAAAACTAGTACATCATTGCTAACTACGAAGTTATTACTATGTTTTTCAACAGATAATCTCGAATGATTGTGTGCCTCGTCTGATGTATACGCACGGTCGCCTTGATGTTTTGAACATACAACCGGGTCGTCCTACGAATCTCAATTGTCCATACCGGATTTCTAAAAGAAGTGGAGACATGACAATCAAAGAATGAAAAAAATGTATGGACAGTCGTAAGGAGCTTCTTCGAAGCAAAAGGAAGCGAAGCGCAAGAATTGGAGACAGGATGATCTCCATTCTTCATAATGGAGAGTCAGGGTCTATATTGTTTTATGCTATTTTACCTTAAGGGTGTTTAGGTCCTACCTGATACTGATGATCATGTGCTAAGAACAATTATGTAGGATTGGGTTCGATGACTATGAGGATGATGATCGTATGACTTGTTATTAATAACGAGTAGAAGTTGTATGATGATGCATGATTAGTAGGACTTGTTATTATATATGATGATGTATGATGCGAGCATGAGTTATTATATATCAGCGGGTGAAATGAACATAGCAGTAGCGTTGGTAAACCAAGGACGAAGATATAAGAGAGGACACTTCTCTCTATTAGCTAGCTAATAACAACCTAAATTAACCCCCAAAACCCCCAAACCAGCCACTTTTTTTTAAAAAAAAGAAAAACCTCAGCTCCAGCCAGCTGCTGACGCGTGGAAGCCTTTTGGTCCCGGTTCATGTCACCAACCGGGACCAAAGGCCCCCTTGCCTGGGCTGCCCGCAGTGGCCACGTAGAGACTCATCTGTCCCGGTTCGTGTAAGAACTGGAACTAAAGGGGGAGGGCATTAGTACCGACCTTTTTGTCCCGGTTTTTAAACCGGGACAAAAAGTCCTTACGAACCGAGACAAATGCCCTGTTTTCTACTAGTGAACCTATTCATCTCACATTGTTTAACCAAACACAAAATGAAGTAACCTTAACAACGTCTCATCGTTCTAACCAAACAGAAAAGGTAAACACTTGTGTTCGGCGTGCCGGCCGAAACTTCAGCCGGTCACGCGAGACACATATGACGCTCCCTGCTCCTCCCACGTCGCGCGTATTCTGTGGGACCTGTGCACCGCCCCACCTTTTTCCTTTTCCTTATCCATCCACTCACACTATGTGTCGTCCCCTTCCTCTGTTTCTCTTCCCCACCGAATTCATCTCCTTCTCCACCATGGAAGCGCTAGCCCCTTTCCCTTCTGCCATGTGGTGGCCATGGCTCGTGCTCACCTCTGCCCACTTGCAGTTCTGCACTCCCCCTTCCCTTCTCCTACCCGCTTTGCGCCCTACAGTGCCGCAGCCCGCCATGGCCGTCGCACACACACACACCTTCTGCCAGGTGGTGGCCATGACTGCCGCCCACCTCCACTTCTTTCCCCGGCGACGACTACCCTGCAAGATTTCTGCTGGAACCTGCATCCACTTGTGCCAGGGACGAAGCTAGAAAAAAAGCTTGATGGGGTCATATCCATGACAATGGGGTCATCTTCTACAAATCAACAGTGATTACTACTAAGATAATGAAGGATTTAGTAATTCCATTGGGGTCAATTGACCCCAATGCCTACATGCCAGCTCCGTCCCTGGCTTGTGCTACAACCGGGTCATAGAATTGCTGCGGGCCATAACATCGCCAACGGCCACGGACGATGTTGTGGTGCGTAGCGAGATTTTTGCTGCCGTAGAAAAGCTGCAACCGGTTGTCCAGAAGCTACAATCGGCATCACAGAAGATGCAACAACGGTGGCAGACCACGGGATGATAATAATTCTTCCAAGGGAACCAACCCAATTTCTTTTGCTACTATCGCCTTTGTTTTTTGCTGGAACTAGCATCCTCTTTTGCTACCACTATCATGTTTTTTGCTGGAACGAGAGAATTTTTTGCTTCCACCATCTTTGGATTTTGCTGGAACCAGGCACTTTTTTGCTACCACCGGCTTTGTGTTTTGCTGGAACTAGCATCCATTTTTGCTACAACCGTGTGGGGTTTGTGCTGGAACAAACACATTTTTGCTACCACCGTCTTTTTGTTTTGCTGGAACCGGCCCAATTTTTGCTACCACTGCCTTTGGCTGGGAGCGGCGCCGTGTCGCCATTAATGCTGCAACAGGGTCGGCGGGACCTGCGAGGGGGGATGGTTTTTGTGGCCAACGACCATGAATCGGCGACCATGAACCTGTGTGGGGGCAATAACGAATGCAGGGAAGGTGAGGAAAAGCTGCTAGGGGTCAACTGTTTTTATTGCGATTTGACGACAGCTAGCATCGGCGGCGAGCTTCGAGGGCCAGCAAACCGGCGAGGGGGAGCAGCGAGCAACCCGGCGAGGGGGAGCCGGGAGCTTGCCGGGGAGCTCACGGATATCTGCTGGAGGAGGAGGATTAGCTACAGGGATGGGGTGTTTCCCCTGAAAGCGTTGAGTGGATAAAGAAACACAGGTCAAGGATTGAGATGCCAGATCGGACGGACCCGACTTACTGCATCTCGCAGTTGGGGCGCGACCGGCCGAAACTTTAGGCCGGCGCCTATCATCGCCCAACAGAAAAGTAGGGACATCCTAGATCATTCTTCCCAATTTCGAACGAGAAATAACTAATTATGCGAAGTGAGAGGAGGAGGGGCTGACCTCTGGTTTGAGGAGTTGTATCGGAGAGGACGCCCCTGTGCACCTCCGGAGATTCTTGGTCTTCCCCCTCATCTACTATCTCCGCCTCCTTGAACTCACGCCGGTACTCCATCAGTCAGAACCTGCGGACTGCATCAGGCCATGTCGAGCTAGGATAGAAGAGAGACCCCATGGCCAGCAAATCTCCATCTCGTGGTCTGCATTTGCCTCCAAGCGTAGCATCAATCAAAACGGACAAAAGATTGAGGAAGGTTAGTAATTAACCAAAAAAGATGCGGCTGCCGCTGGAAGAAGTGGGCGAGATTCCGTCTGAATAATCTCTTCTTTTTCTTGATCTATCTATATACAGTGGACAAGGTGCATCAGATCTTCGCTCTGAATAATCGATGTCCTAAGTCGCGAGGCTATATGGCATCACATGCACAAAAGGGCTCCAACTTCACTAATATTACTAATAACTCCTTGACCTTTTTCTACGGCTAACGATTCACACCAACAGACCGGTCACCCGCCACATGACGCGAGCCCGTGGGATCTCTTTTCTAACCTTATTATCTCTTCCACGCCCCACCAAAGCCACTCGTATACACAACCTCTTTCATGGCCCACTCCGCTTCATTCATTTTCCATATCTTATCATTTCAATTGCTGGCCGCATATAATCTCTACTACTTAAAAAGAACGTAAGGTTCCCATTTCACCTTTCATCCCACCACCCCTTCCTCCAACCTTTCATGTATATAATAATTAATCATCTTAATTTACTTACCTTCTAAACCAATTACACTTTAATTTACTTACCAACCTTCTAATCTAAATATAAGGTATTCACGGGTAGAATTTGATGAACATTTATTTACACAATCGCATTATTATTGACAGATAAATTAGAAGTTAACGTTAGAATATTTATCTCCCGTTGCAACGCACGGGCATTATTCAAGTGAAAAAAAATCCTATAGCCCGATCATGAGACCTTCTCCAGTGATCGACGCGTGGCAAAAACAAATCTAAAAGCAATAAATCTCCTGTTCCTTCTTCTCCCGCACCCCACTCTTCTTCTAATCACGGCTGCTCCGTCCGTCCATCAGCGATGCCGTCGCAACTCCTCTGCTTGTGGAACCACCGGGCGCACCCTCCCCGCAGCGGAGGCCCGACAACCCGTGCCTAGCAGCACAACACGTCTGCCTGCTCTTCCTCACGCAAGGGCCACACAAACACAACCACACTCCTACAGATTCTCTGCTGAAATTTTTCTCCCAGATTGTTTGGTTGATTGATTCACAACCAAAAAGTTGACTTCAAATCCACGCAATATTTTCTTTGTGAATGAAATCCATGCAATTTACCATCCAAAGAGTTGAAGCAGATATTGCCACTCCTCCCCTCGTGGAGACCGTCGTGCCGTGGTTAGAGACGATAGAAAGAGACGAGGAAGGAGGGTGGAGCGCCGGTGGTTCCACCACATAGCCAACGGAAGAGCTGCAGCGGCGGCTCAGACCTACAGCGGCATCGCCGTCGGAAGCAGACGACGCTGGAGAAGGAAATACGAGTAGAACGGGGGATTGGGGATAAGGTCAGATGCTTTTAGATTCGTTTTTGCCACGCGTCGATCACTGGAGATGGTCTCACTATCTAGGCGTGCGACCCGAGTCGTATAAGATTTTTTTTCCTATAGTCAATGCACTAGCCAAGGGCATATTTACTTCCCATCCATCCGTGGACAGAATGGGATCAATTCACATACATGGATGGGGAAGGCCGTCGTCCAACGTTGTTCGCATACATTTCAACAACTTTATGAACCAACCGGAAAAAATTCGTGCAAACCCGGTGGATTTCATACAAACCGAATGATATTCATGCAAACACGGCGGATTTTCATTACATTCCGAACATTTAAAACAACGATCTGACTTGACCCTAAACTGGTGGGTGCTTGCGTGTGTTGCTGAGAGCTTATTAAATTGTGGAAGCTTAAAATCCCTCTAAGAATGAAGATATTCCTCTGGTTCCTAAACAAAGGGGTCATCTTAAATAGAGATAACCTGGCACGACGCAACTGGCAAGGCACCAAGGCGTGTGTCTTTTGCCAACATGACGAGTCTATTAAGCACTTATTTTTTGAGTGTAGGTTCGCTCGGGCGGTTTGGACCATAGTTCAAGTAGCTTCAAATTTATACACACCACGTAGTGCTCGTAACATGTTCGGCAATTGGTTGAGGGGTATTGATAAACAATTTTCTGCATATATTCTTGTCTGGGGGGGGGGGGGCTACCTTATGCTGGGCATTGTGACTTACCAGGAATGATGTGGTTTTTAATAAAAAAATATGTTTCATCTCCTATGCAGGATATTCATGTATGTACGCGATGGCTCCGTACTTGGTCTATCCTGCAAAGCCCGGAGGATAGGGACCTTTTTATGATGGCGTCTACGCGACTGAAGCGTACTGTCAGGGAGGTTTTCTCCCCCATGGATGGCGCTGTGATCTCCTGATAGGATCTGCCACATCATAGGCTGGACGAATTTATTTTTTTAAGTTGTAAAACGTTTTTATTTTTGGGTCGGTTGGACTTCTTGGCTGTGTGTATCGAGTTATGCAGAGGTCAGGCATTCTTTAGATGCGATTGTATCGCCTCGATATATCAGTTCAATGAAATGTCCTTTATCAAAAAAAATCATACTTCTGCAAAAAGAAAAAGAAAAAATCTCCATTCTATGAAGCTCCTCTACGGATGTATCTGTCCACATATTAACTTCGTCCACAGAGTACATGACAAAGAAAGAGAATAATTAAACAACCGGCCGTGGCAGCAGGGCAAGTGCATACCGATTTGCGGATGGCTGTGTTGCATGCATCACACGGCTAGCTGTGTGTAATTGGATGGTGACTTTGAAGCTTCGACGATTAAAATTATAATCTGTAAAAGAGTTGCAGTGAGTCATATGATTGGCCGTGGACTAGAGACGATGTGGTTTTTAATAAAAAAATATGTTTCATCTCCTATGCAGGATATTCATGTATGTATGCGATGGCTCCGTACTTGGTCTATCCTGCAAAGGCCGGAGGATAGGGACCTTTTTATGATTGCGTCTACGCGACTGAAGCGTACTGTCAGGAGGTTTTCTCCCCCATGGATGGCGGTGTGATCTCCTGATAGGATCTGCCACATCATAGGCTGGACCAATTTATCTTTTTAAGTTGTAAAACGTTTTTATTTTTGGGTCGGTTGGACTTCTTGGCTGTGTGTATCGAGTTATGCAGAGGTCAGGCATTGTTTAGATGCGATTGTATCACCTCGATATATCAATTCAATGAAATGTCCTTTATCAAAAAAAATCACACTTCTGCAGAAAGAAAAAAAAAATCTCCATTCTATGAAGCTCCTCTACGGATGTATCTGTCCACATATTAACTCCGTCCACGGAGTACATGTCAAAGAAAGAGAATAATTAAACAACCGGCCGTGGCAGCAGGGCAAGTGCATACCGATTTGCGGATGGCTGTGTTGCATGCATCACACGGCTAGCTGTGTGTAATTGGATGGTGATTTTGAAGCTTCGACGATTAAAATTATAATCTGTAAAAGAGTTGCAGTGAGTCATATGATTGGACGTGGACTAGAGACGAATGGCACAACTGTGCCTCTCCTATACGGCAATTTGGTATACCTCTTCCAGTCTAGAGCCTAGACTCGGTAAATGCCGGTCGAATTCTCACGCATCAATCCCAGAAAAGTTTGACGGGATTCTTAGGAAAATTTGAAGACAGTGAATAAATACTGTCATCTCTTTATTTATTTATTTACTACTCCTATAAAAGCACTAGTAATAGTGTACGTGTAATGCACGTTTATATTAGATAGGATATTAGTTGCATGTTATATTAGGTAAGCTTCATTTCTTGCATGTTGGTATTTGGTAAGATATCAATTACCTTTTTCACGGGAATAGTAGGATATTAATTACATGGTAGATTTCATGGGATAGCGTTGAGTCAAAACGTGTTTATAACCAATGGCGGTGGTGGATAATTATAGCGTTAAACGTGTTTGGTGCTCAACATTGGAGCGATTTGAACCGCTAGATAACATGATTTGACAGTCAAGATGTTTTGAGTCTGCCCCTTTGGATTTTTTTTATATTGGTATAGATATAGATGAAAGGCGGAGATCCAGAGCATCCCCGTCGTACAGAGGATCCAATCCTACATAGCTTCAATGTTTAGGACCAAACATGTTTTAGTCATTAATAGGTAACTGCCGTGCGTTATAACAAGGCAAAAAAAATAATTATAGTGGTTAACAAAAATCTTGGACACATATACCCCCTTCAAAATTTCCATGCACATCAAACAGCATTCTTAACGGGGCAACAATGGGCAAGGCTCTGCGCTGGTCGAGATTCGGCCAGTCCTCGCACCGTTAGATCTGCCCCGCACAGAATCTCCAGAGCCGTTGGATCACGCTCGTACCAAATGGATCGCCTTGGACTCGGTCGTCGTCTTCCTCGCGCATGCGAAGCCCCACACCTCGCCCCCCGCCTGACCCACTCCCTGCATGCATCTCCCGCGCGCCCGCACACCTCCTCTCGTGCCGCCGGCTCGCCCCCTTGCTGTCATCATCGCCGCCGCCACACTGAAGGTCAAAATATCTGTAGGAGATATGCCCTAGAGGCAATAATAAATGTTATTATTTATCCCCATGTTCCTAATTATGTTTATATTCCGTGCTATAACTGCTCTGGTTCTTGAGTGTACAATAATCACCAGGCTCAGAGGAAGACTCGTATGCACATGTGGAATAATAAACGGTAAAATGTATTCCTAGTCTAGACTCTAAGACTAGCTCAAGCCATGCATGATGGTTCTGTTTTCCTGATCATGGGCATGACTATGCCGGCAACTTTGAGGGCACAATGTTAGAAGAACAATTATGTTGAATCAACCCAAATTGATGTTATGCTATGAGATACATTCTTCACAAGTTAATGATTAATAACACAGAGAAGTTAACGTTTGCATGATTCCTTAGACCATGAGAGTATCAAGTTTCTTCATGCTTGCTTCATGAACTTTGGGGTTTGTTAAACGTCATCCGTAACTGGGT